GAGAGAGAGAGAGAGAGAAAGAAAGAAAGAAAGAAAGAAAGAAAGAAAGAAAGAAAGAAAGAAAGAAAGAAAGAAAGAAAGAAAGAACGAACGAACATGCCCGGCAAGCCACTCCTACCAGGTGATATGGCCAGCAAGCCACTCCCACAAAGGAGGCCACACCCACAGAGTAGGTTCCACAAATTTTTGAAACCCACCACTGGATCTCCTCCACCATGCCTGGTTCTCACTGGTCCTTGAAGACCCAGTTTTCAGAGACAAGATCAGATGCATGAGATCAATGCTAAAATCCAAATAATTGGGAGAAGTGGTGATTGCAAGATGGTCACCACTATCAGATATTTTGTATGTTTATATTTCCTCTTACACATAGGGATCAAATGAACCTCCATAGAATTTGCAATTTTACTCCTTTTGAAACTCATCTGATTCTTGCATGTTTTCATCCGTTGTTCTGTAGTTAACCTAGAACTTAATTGAAATGCAAATTGAAACATGGCAAGAAACTCCACTGAGTAAAAATTTATAATAAAGCTCAATGTTCTTTTCCCTAGTCTTGGAAGATATATCAACATAGCTGAACATACATAGTATGGGAGATAGTTTTTCATTACACCAAAGAAATCACATGCATAATGTCTGCTAAATTAAAGCATTTTTTTCCAAGGATTTTCTGAAATCTGAAAATTACTGTTTTGATGTCTGCAACTCTAAGCCCAGTCTAAATAGAAACCACTTTGGTTTAAATGACTCACAATTTGGAAGGAAGGCTTCTATATACATAACATACTTTATATTACTTTGGCTTCAGAGATTTGCTTACACTTAAAAAGGCAAGAATTTTAAAGCAGTAAAAAAATTTATTTTAATTTTTGACACTCAATACATGTGATCAAATATGACCTTACCAAAGAAATAGATAGCTTCAAGACATATTTCTAAGCCAAATTTCAGCCTACACCAAATGTTCATGGTTATACAAATCAGTCTCTGGACAACAGTTTATTGAGAAGTGCTAGCATCTCTAGCTACAACAGCATGTACTGTTCCTTAAATGGGTTTGGGCAAGTAAAATATTCCATACACAATGCACAATTAAAATATTTTATCCTTGAATTTTTCATATTACCAAATATAATATGCTTCCATAATTCAAGAATAACTAAAATCTTTCCCCCTTCAAGCCAACATTTTGCTTTCTAAACAAATATCTAATTTGACATTTTGTTCTCCCTGCTTATAGAAGCTTATTCAAAGGTCCCCTTCTTTAATTTTATGAAAGAGACAAAGGAAATCTTGAAATATCATTGCCAACCTTAGACTAACAGTTAATCACTAAATAACAAAGAGATATCAGTTCATTGTTAGATTGTATTAATAACAGACCAAACCATAGGATTTAAAAATCCCGCCTATATCAGAAAGCAGAGACAATTTTTAGAGCTCATTGTACAAATAAGAGATTTTAAATCTCAGAAAAATCAAAACTGAATAGGTCATTAACAAGAGCAGACATGCACAATGCTGTTTTTAAATTTGCAATGCAGAATTAAATGCTACTCAAGAGATAAGTATCTTTCTATTACAAAACAAATTTTGTTTAATTCAAGATGGTCAAAGAAAACTTATCAAATGAAACCGAGGGTAATGAATTCTTCAGCCAATGGGAAAATGTTAATAGATCTGTTACTGATGAATGTAATGAATAGATTGCTCCTTATAGCATTTACTGAATAAAGTGCACATTGATAAATTATCAGCTCTGTATATTACAAAGCAACACGATACATTTCTATAGCCTCTTGCTTCTCTTAAAATAAGCACATCTGCACTGTTTTCCTCCTGAATGCAGTGCTCTGAAGCACTGCTATTTTGAGTCAGATAAGACCCTGTAGATACTGATACTAATGTTTATATGTATGTTTGAATTATCTACTACACTGATGTGCGTTTTTTGTAAAGGCTAAATAATATAGCTAAAGGAAAACAATTTAATTCTGTCATATATATGGAGAAGATGAAAAATAATATTTTGGACAATGTAATTATGCCTGGAAAGGAGATGATCAAACTCATTACATTCCACAATGAAACAGGTAAGACAATGAAACAGAAATAGCATCTCCTTTCAATCATTTACTAAACTGAAGTACAGAGATAAGAGGGAACATATAGTACAAGTGGCAGTTTTTCTTTAGTCCCAAGAAAGGGGGAAAAACATTGATAAAACATGCATAATGAGAAAATTTTATTCATGAATAACATGACCCTAATTTCTTCTGTGTTTATCCTCTATCATATACATGGCAAAGGTGGTATGCTGCATCATTTATGCACACCCAGAGTCTCAAGAACTATCTATAATGAGGAACGTATTAAAGGTTGCAATCATTTATTTATAAGCCCCTGAGCAATTTTTCCCTAGAGTTAGGTGAAAAAGGCAAAAGTGAACAAGATATTTCTTGCTCTTTAAGTGCTTTGTGCAACAACTTTTGGAGAAGTTATTTCTGAAGTCCTTTTTCTTTAACAAGGATGACCACAGTTGCGTTTCCTGCTCCTGAAGATATTTCTCAATGCAGTTCTTTCCAGTTGTATTTCAGACACAGTGAAGCACAGCTGCATTTTTGTAGCTTTTTGCTCCCTCAAACCATGTTTTCAGTTCTGCAGAGTTTGAAGGAAATGCCTGAAGGGAGAGTGTCTTTTCACAATGGTGTCATCTGGGTGACACAGTGGGGCTGGAGAAAGAGCTGGAATTTCTTGGTGACTGAAAGGCCAGTGGTGGAGTACCAGGGGAGAGTTTTCTTGGACTGCAAAGGTCCCCATTGTGTAGCTTCCACAAAAGTTCTTCATTTTCCATCGATAGGCGTTTATTTACCTTGGATTCTTTCTCCAAAGATTCTTGCAAAACTGCTTGCTCAGTGGAAAGTTGCCTGTTCGTTTTAAAAGAAAAATGATAAATGAGACCTTCTTACCTTCAAACAGATTTGCCCTATTCTTCTTTTAGAACAAGCTGTAAAGGCTTCAGCTGGACAATTCTCCCCCCTTCTCTGGGGTGGGGGTGCAGGTGGTTCTTCCAGAACCTACGAACTCTCCATTGAATTAGCAGTAGATTTTCCCCCTTTCAAAATTACAAACTTGGACAAATGAAGGCTTAGTTGAGCACAATAAAACCGTCAACTTATTTCTCATGTTCTTCACTCTTATTGGTGCCCATCTATCAGTGGTGGGATTCAAAAATTTGTACTACTGGTTCTGTGGGCGTGGGTTGGTGGGTATGGTGTGGCTTGGTGGGCGTGGCAGGGGAAGGTTACTGCAAAATCCCCATTCCCTCAGCTGAGATTCAGGAAGCGGAGCCGTCAGAGGTGGTATTACCAGTTCTCCGAACTACTCAAAATTTCCGCTACCAGTTCTCCAGAACTGGTCAGACCCGGCTGAAAACCACCTCTGCTATCTATTAGAGGAAACTAGTAATCCTATTAGAGGAATAATATAATAACTGCAATAGGATTTTCTTCTCAAGGTGCTTGTAGAATGTTTTTCTCCCAGATGCAAGAGATGATAGCAAGCAAACAAAGAAATTATTTTTTAAAAATTTGAACTTAAACTTTTGATAGTCCCCAGAGAACATTATTTCACTGTACTGACCTTCAAAAGATACTTTTACTTTTATTTGAATTTTAGTCCCACTTTATTATACTAGATTTAGAACAGTTTGTATCATGGCTTTATCTGAATACATCAATGATATTAGGGTCAAATGCAGACTTCCCCAGAGTGAGCTTTAGTGCGGCGGCAGTGTGA